TTTTTTTTTTTTTTTTTTTTTTTTTTTTTTTTTTTTTACTTTGTAATTGAAGTTCTTGTTAATAATCTCGTTCTGTCTTTGTCCTTGTTTTTCCTAAATGTTATTTTTAGCTAAGACCGTATGCGACTCTGTCATTGAGGAACACTTCCGCCGCAGTCTTGGGAAAAACTACAAAGAAGCCGAGGCTGTGTCCAATTCAGTTTCTATCACGGGTTCTGTGGATGATCACTTTGCGAAGGCGCTGGGAGATGCCTGGCTTCAGATACAGGCCAGAGGTAGCAGCCACCAGACTCCAGAGGATGACCCATAAGATGGGGGAAGAGGGGATTGAAAGGGATCATTTTATTATTCTCCCTTCTTGCCAAGAATCAACTTCTCTTAGCCAAGAACCGTGTAAGACGTGTGGTTCTCACATAGGTGGTTCCTCTCTGGACCTCAAGGTCAATCTTGTAGAACACTCAGCTCACTTTTGTCAATTAAAATTGGTAATTTTCTACCCACAAAGAAGGAACTAAATTTTGAGTCATTTGATAGTTGTGGGAAAATGACTAATCACACTGTAAGTTTCTGAATATAGATTCCCAAAGTTGTCAGCATGACAACAGATTTTTGACCTGCCTGTCATCCGATTTGATAGCCAAAGACCTTTCCAGCCTTTCTCCACCAGCCTGTAAGCCATATTATCCGTTCTTTCATTGCCACTCTAAGATCACACTGCTTTTCAATCAATATTACTTGAAAATGACAGCTATGTCTCTTTTGCACTATTATGTTCTTGACCTCTGGTGTCACAGGATACCTGTTGGAAGTAATGTGCAACAATGCGTTTTGAGATTTATATGAGAAGATTACTGCCTTGGCCTTGTTGCTTTCTGAAAACACTAGATCAAACTGTCTTTTTTATGATGATGAACTGGACTTATCCACTGTTTAATAACTAGTTTGCTTACACATTCACTAAATTTGATAACATATTTCCACTAACATCAATCATAGTCAAACTTTTATTAGAAAGCATGATTCAAATAGCTGGTTTCTATTACAAACTTTATCCTTATACTGTGTATTTAGCCAGATTTTATTTTTATCTGTGATATCTTAGAAATAGTCACTGCTGGTACAGTTGTACTCCTTATATTTTTTTTTTGTATCTGACTCTACTTAGGTGCATATCTTGGCATCCATCAACAAATCGCAGCCTCTGGCAAGGCTGTCTGCAGTTTTACCAGCTGCATTATTGTTACTCTGCGGAGCTGGATGTTGTAGCTTAACACATGACTGAATGCGGCTAAATCTCCTCCTCTGTATTATAGTTGATAAGCAGTGACTTTATTTATTCTCAACATGTTGATTTTTGTTGTGAAACTTTTGCTTTGGAGAGGATTCCTAAACTACTTCATTAACAAAGAAGTTGATTTTCAGTTTGTTATTAATACAAGACAGAAGTAGCCTTAGTTTTTAAGTTGCATTGAACATTCCACCAATGCTGCTGATCTTTCGTAGTCACATCAGTTGCTTAGCTGGTACTGTTACAATATTGTGTGTTTGTGTTTTTTGTTTTCCCCTAAGTCTAAATCGCGTTCTAATGTTGCCAAATTTCTTATTTCATGACGTAGGGCTTAATAGAGTGCCATATTTCTGATAAAGTTGATGTTTAATTCCTAGATTTGAAAACTTACTGACTTATTGAAGTGTTCCAACCTTCTCATATTTGGTTGTGTCAAAATCAGAAAATTTAATGTATTACAGTGGAATTCAACTTTTCACATTGTGTTGAAGGACAACCACAAACAAAAATGTTTAAATGGGATTTTACATGACAAGTGAACGCAACATTTCACATCATTATGATAGAGGAAAGATGATGCAAAATGTTTCAACGTTTTTTACAAATATGTCCTGTGCCTTGCTTATACTTTATAAAAGGTCTGGACTGGGTCACTCTAGCGATTGTACTTTGAACTAAACGGTTTCATTACATCAATGTTTGTGGTTCTAATGTGACTAAATGTGATACATTATGATACTTTTTTTACGACACCACATGTGATAGTGTGACATTTTTGATAACATTATTTGGTATTCTAAGGTTCTTTTTCTATTAACGTTTAACTCCCATGTTTTTATTAATATTGATTTTTATTTTATAAACCATATAATCTTTTCTACTTTATTTTACACATCCAGGACCATCATTGCGCGGTGCGGAATGATCAATGTTTGGTTTCCTTTCAGCGTCATCTACATGCGCTAAAGTAGATGACACTTCTACTGTGTAGAATGACACCAATGCAGCTTGTCTTCTTAAATTTTCCATTAATAAGTGCAGAAACGGTTTTCTGACATTGAGGCTTCCTCCGTGTAGACTTCTGTAACAGGTTGGAGTTTAAGCTTTCTGTATGTATTTGGAGAAGTGGGTGATTTATGGGATGTGCTTGTTTGACACAAGTAAAAGTTTCTCTAATGTATTTGCTGGTTTTAGGCCTATATTTAATTTTTTTAGAGTACCTGCATCTTTAAGACTGTATAAAGTTCTGGTTTTAGGAGTCATCCTGGTAGAAAAATATAAAGGGTTTTTCATCTTTATTTCTCTGGAAGAAAACACTTTTTGTACTTAAATATTTTCAAAATAAACTTATAATGGCTTCATTTGCACATTTTTCTTGTCCGTTTTTCCTGCAATATATTTAACGGAAAGCTTTCACACCAACGCCTGATATAATGAACTGATACAGTTGAACTAAGTAAAGAGTTTGCTGGAGTTGCATTACAAAATGTCAGCATTTTTAGATTATGATGGTGATTTGAAAGTCCTTTCCAAGCATACTTCTTTCCACATTTAAAATGCAGCATTTTGTATAAACAGAATGAGGGTCTTGAGTGGAACTAGTTTTACGTATAGCATGCACTCAGTTAATGTAAAATAACCCTGATTTGAGCAGAACATTGAGGAGTATCTGAAATCCTGTAGAACGGAGAAGTGGGTACAAAGTTTTAACAGTGGGCTTTATTTCTAAGGCTTTATGCCAATCTCAGGAGGAATCCTCAACTGTGGGTAAGAAGGAAGTCTGAACCTTAGATCTACTACCATAGTAATCTTAGGTATAATAACTGAAAGGAGCAATGCACTAATATTTTAGAAGACATTTTAAAATTAGTTTTGCTGCAGAGGTTTACATTTTGTTGCTTCAATAAATGCCTCGTTGTTTGCCAGGTGATCCCAAATTTTATCTGCTAGATTCTGCCCAGTTGGGTGAGTTTCAAGCCAATCGGTTGCATGGCAACCTCTGACAAAAAAAAGTTGCATGGCTGATTTGGAGCACTTGCAGTGATGTTTCTAGAGCAAGTCGAGCACAAACTTCTCTCCCCCCGTCTCTGCACTCGTGTCCCTCCGGTCGTTACTTGAAAGTTACTGCGATTCACAGGTGTGCTTTTCCACAGCCTAAAAGGCCTGTTGACAGGCTGGCTTCGTAACAACTGTTTATTTAATGTCTTTCTATTTTCTACTTAATGACCATGTGTGTGCAATACATTCTACAGCCAGGCTGGCTTATTCTCGACAAGCAGCTGCCATTTTCCCCTGGATGTCAACTGCCGTCTCTCTGTTTGTTTGGTGCCATGGTAACTGACGATTAAAAATCTGCAAGTGTGACACAATGAAAATGTGATTAATATTCTTTTTTTTTTTTTTTTTTTTTTTTTTGCAAATGGCACCTTTTTATGGCGGTATATAATTGAAATGCTGTAACATTTAACAGTTGAGTACTATGGCTTTATGGGTTTTTCTCCACTGACCAGCAGATGGCACTATTATGCTTCTCTTGAAGCACTTTAAAACTCCTGAATCTCTGGAGACCAAACAAAGAGGATCATCATCCCCAGACAATTGGAATGGATGCTGCATATCTTTGATATGTCTTTTTGTGTACTAAATATTTCCTTTTGATACAGTAAATATCAAATGGTTAAAAATATATTGTGACATCAATTTAATATAGAACATGTAAAGATATTTTGCATAATTTTGTGATGGTGTTTTTAAAACACTATTTTAGAATATTATGTGTACATTTAGGGAGATGCCAACTAGGCCATGCTTAATTTAGCTTTGCAAATACAAATTTTTTGTGCAATATTAAGAAGTACAAATATTTCAAGCAAATGACAACAGTGAATTCTTTGCATTTAAAAATGATTTTTTTTTTTTCGCTTTCGCCCCCTGTTCTCAAATCTGCTGAAAAGCCCCTAAAAATGTCCACTGCCACCACAAGATTAGACCCCGCCATTCAGCAAATACAATAACCACCAATGTTGCTGCCATGCCTTCCACGGATGCCTGTTCTTGTGGGATTATGGAGAGGAAATCTAAATTTTTCTAGTTCATGTAAAAACAAAAATATAAAAACAACCACTTTATATTCCTGTATGGACACACTCAACACAGGCACGCAAATATCAGCCCACATCGATAGCCGACATGAGGCGAGTGTCTTAATCAAGATGACACTTCAGGGTCATGCCAAATTCGGCTTGGCCTCTTCAATGTGTGAAGGCCACAAGGAGCATGACATCTGTGCTTGAAATGGAGGCCCGGTCTCTCGGCCGCTGCCTAGTGTTATTTCCCCAACCGGACAGACTCTGCTGCTTTGAGACACACAGTCAGGACACACATATGTCAAATAGTGTGCTCCGTCTCCTTTGTAAAAGAACTGAACCAATGAGAAGAGCTTAACATGGTGCACTCTGGCCACGGTATGGCGTATAAAAGAATCCAGATGGATAAATGCATGGTTTCACTGCGGGCTAAATAGCAAAAGTGTCTGTTACAGTGTCACACATGTTGACTCACGTCCTCTGTACATACTGTCCTGCACAAACGCCTGATAGAGATCTCATTCATTCGTTTGCATAATTCCAAATTTGTTGTGCCTGAACAGAGTCCAGGGCTGCACCCCTATCCACAGCATCTGTGAGTGCACTATGTCTGGGGAATTTGCATGATTGCCTGTAGATTATGTGAACATCGTCCCCCCCCCCCCTTCCCCCCCCCCCTTTTTTTTTTTTCCCATTTTTTTTTTTTTTTTGTGGCTCTCCGCTGTGAGGATGCACACACATCCTTGGGCGAAAGAATCTAAAATAGATCATACGAGCAACTGGAGTAGATGCACAGGCACAGGAAGCAGCTCACGGGCAGACTTGAGTCATGCTGGCAAGATCATGCACCCTGAGCTGACAGCCCAACATACCCGATTACCAATCACGTCACTTGCAAAATGCAGCAGCAGCCGTACTATATGTCGTAAATAAATAGGAAAATATTGAGAAGCCACGCAGATTTCCCCTCATAAAGGACTTCTTAGCGATGTGGGGATCTAAAGGGAGGGCCGTCTGTGCTTCAAGACGGACCTGATGAACATCTCCGGCTCACGGAGCAGTGGCTCATTCAATGTGTCATGTGGACTGCTGGCAATGGCATAACCTTTGCAGAGGGAAGGGAAGACAACACGGTCACTCTGGATAACAGTCTCGCAATGAACAAAAACAGACTCTGTCAGGCCGTCTCAGCATCAGTTTTAGGCTGCACACCACCGCGAACACAACCTACCAATCGCTCTTTGCCTTTTCCTCAGTCCTCCCTCCTATCAGTTGGTACGGCTCCTTCTCCTATAAGACGTGCACTTGATTTGCCGGGGATACTAATAATACCCCTCTACTTTACGTTACATTCTCGTACACTATGTGCTGCCTCAGCTCCATGTTTGACCCGCTTTGTTGTGAACATTTGGTCTGCTACATCACCGTATGGTGCTTGACACAGCCAGTGATTTCTCAGAGATTTGGTTGGCACTGGCGGTACAGTGTTATCTATTATTGATTTGTAATGATTGATTTAAAGAGCCATCTGCTGCAAAAGCATGCTACTTCTAATTTCTGCAAGAGAACAAATCACAAATAAAATGAGGTACAAAATGTCCACAGAAAAGCATAAATACACAAGTAGCAAACATTTGTAAAGATTTCCTAAACTTTTTCAAAATAAAACTCTGAAAAGTGTGACAAGCAAACATATTCTGTCCTGTTTACTCTGATACCCCTTGATAAAATTTCCTGCAACTTTTGCCTTCAGAAGATAACAGTCCACCTGTAAAAAAAAAAAACTGATCGATATTAGTGTGGAAAAAAAAGTCACTCAACAGCTTTAGGAAGACCAAAGAACTCGGTAGACACAAATATAGTTGTGGAAAAGTTAAACTCAGGATTAAACTTTAAATATATTACCATTCTAAAAAGAAAACATTTTAGAGGCAGCAAAAAGCTTGTCAGTAGGTTGCCATTCTCCTTCCAGCAGGACATTAAATGTACAACCAAACGTAGATCAGACTGATTTGGATCAAAAAATGGTCACGTATCAGAATAGCCCAGTCAAAGTCCAGACCTAAATCCAGTTGAGAATCTCTAGCAACATTTGAAACCGGATGTTCACAAACATTCTCCAAAATACTTGGATTTCTATTTGCTGGAAAAGGTTCTTTCGTAAACCTTTAACTCAGAGGGACCTAAATACAAACTACAAAAACATGCATCATTGTATTTCTGCGTCATTATGCACACTTCAACATTTGGACTATCACATAAAATCCCAGTAAAATATTTTTTAAAGGTTTTTATGGCTCTAGGGAGCCTTTAATCAACTGTAGATGGACAGGAAAAGGGGCAAAAAGAAAAGAGGAAGACATGCAGCAAATGGCCTGCGGCCAGGAATTGAATCGGGGACATTTGCATTGAGGACCATACCCTCTGTTTATGGTGTCCCTGCTCTACCTCTGAGCCATGTGGCGCCCCCGCTGGCGCCCAGGTAAAAGCATGGAACTTTGTGTTTAGGACTTGTCAAATGCAGAAAAAAGTTCAATGGACATGAATACCTTTCAAGACACTGTACTAATGACGGGCTAAAAATTCTGGAATGCTGCTTTTTTCCCCTACAGGGTCAAGACTCCATGTAATCATTTAGATTTCCTCGTTTAACATCAGGCGAAGATGATGTGCGTTGAGACGGCGTGTTTTGGGCAGCGAACAGCAGATGGATGTTTGAACCATTACTAAGGGGCATTCTCATGTCTCATTATGAGGCTTGTTAAGGCCCACATTACAGCTGCTTGACTGAGCAGCCTTAATAAGGAAAGTGACCCAACACCAACATGAGCAGCAGCATTTTACCTCTCACTGCCATCTGTTTGCTCCCTTCGTGGCCCTATCACTTTCTCTTGCCGGTCTGCCTCCCCCCTTTTTTTTTTTTTTTGCCCTTTTTTTTTGCCACAGCGCCATCCTTCCCCCCTCAACTCTCCCACCACAACCACCACCGCCACCACAACCTCTCCCCCCGTTGTGTGTTTGGCAGTCACACAGTTGGCCATGTGTGTGCTGAAGACGTTACATAATGCCCTCCTTTCACTGCACTACAGATCAAAGAGAACAATCCAGCACAGAGAAATCGCTCCTTGCTGATTTTTCCTCTCTTGTTTTTTCAGACTTCTGTACAGTACACTGCATTATAACCAGCTCCAGGATTCCTGTGGAAAACCAAACAAAGAGGCAAGGAAAGAAGCAAAAGAAAGGAGACAAAAAAAGCCCCAGATTAGGCTGAGTAG